AAAAAAAAAAATTTTCTCTTGATTTTTTAAGATTAAGAGAAGAATAGAAAAAGAAGAAAGAAAGAAAAGGATAGACGAAAATTTCTTTTTTTCCCACTCTTAAAATATCGAGCGATGATTTCAGTGTTAGTTAGTTGAAAAAAAAAAAAAAAAAAACCAGCACAGAATCCCATGTTTTTTACTTGTTCCCACAAAATTTTTCCATGTCTCTACATCGACTTTGCAAAGCATTTGATTGCATAGTTCCACAAAATGTGCAACCAAAGTTTCTGTTTTTAAATCGTCAAAATTCGGCCAAACATCCATTCTTAACTTGCGGTGTTAAACGATTAGTTGAAGTGAAAATTCATTTACATTGGTTTCGATAAGTTAATCATCAAAACTGCCCAAAAATTACTCATATCAACCGTTGTTAAGGTACCTGTTAGTTTACTTCAAAAAAGAAACATTTAATCAGCTTTTATTTTTTGTGACATATTCAGTAGATAAAACCCAATAAATTGTTATCTATTTTTCCATTATTCAAATCTTTTTTTTTCCCCATTTTTTTTTTTTGTTAACTGACCTGCAGTACACTAAACGATGATTATTAACATATTTCTTTTTTCTATGTTTATCCTGTTGCAGAAGTCTCTTCTTTTTTGACATTATTCCATTCTCATGCTTCCTGTTTTAACAATTTTAAAAGCTGAGGAAAAAGATGAATGAACTGTTGCATGGTCAATTGATTTGTTTCATTTCAGCAGACTACTTCTCTTTGTGCATTTATTTTTAGTTCAATTAATCAGTGTTGTTGTGTTGCTACTGCTGTTACTGCTACTGTAACCGTCTTAGTTTGTCTTTGTTGTTTTTGCTCCCTCCTATTGTTGTTGCCTTCTATTTTCAACTTTTTCTTTGCTTATGCTCAGTTAGGGAAATGAACTGTGTTAACAGAACCAACAGAAAAAGGGAAATAGCAACTGAGTTGTTTGCAACAGAAAAAAAGGTGAGAAACAAAACGGAAATTAAAAAAGTTGTTGACGTGGAAGAAAGAAAGTAAATAAAGTAAAGAAAAAAAAGACCAAAGAAACAGAAGCAAAAAAAAAAAACTTTTTTCTTCTAAAGAAAAAAAACTACACCAGTTGGGCTGTCAAAAGCAATTTCATATGGTTGAACATTCTCGGAATGCAACATATAATCAAAAAGTTTTTTGCCACATCCCTGTCGTTGACACGATATATGCACATAAAAATCCAATAATGCTGTTAGTTCGCCTTCATAGGTTTTCAATTCTTTATCGTAGAGGAAAAGATGTTTTCGACCAATTTTCAGCATTCCAATTAAACGACTGCTGCTATCTTTACCACTGAAAAAACAGCAAACAAAAACTAAAAAAAAAGTGACCAGAAAACTAAGATGATCAAAAACAAAGCAAAGAAACAAAAAAACAGTTGTAGCATAAAAAGAAATTAAAAAAAAGTAAAAAAAAAGAAAGAAGCAAAAATTCAAGAAAAAGAAATTTATATACGTAAAGAGAAACATCTTCTTTCTCCTTTTCTTCAGTATTTTTCTGATTTGAAACAGTAAAAGAGGATTAAAACAAATGCCCTATTTTTCTCGTTTTGACTTCTCCTTCTTTTCAGCTTATGCTCAATTCAGTTTATCGTTTCTGCATTGTATCAGCGTTCCTTACTGTCGGATCGCTGTCGGGATTGTTGTTGGTGGTCAACGTAGCCATCGGTACCATTGATTCTGTCATAAACTCCTCGCTGTTGTCTCCCTACCCTTATTTTGCTGAATTTTTCAGATCATTTTCATCTTCCTTTATTCCACTTTTCCTTTTATTCCTCTTCAAAAAAAGAATTTTTTACTTTACTTTTCTCTTCTGTCATTATTTTTTTTCACCTCTGTGTAATTAACCGTTGCAGAAGACAAATCTCTGTTTTTTTTTTCACATTTTAAAGGAAGACCTCTTTTTAACTACTTAAAGTGTTGATAAATTTCTACCAAAGAAAATCCAGAAATATAAATGATTAAAGGTAGCGAATTCGCATAAATTTATTGTATTACATTTTCACTATTTATAGCCTCACTTTGATCCGTTTGGTTTTATTTTTTATTTGTCCGCTTTCTTCTTTCCTTCACCATTTTTTCACTAATTTATTCAACCAACCCAACACTACGATTGTCATAAGCCAAAAAAAAGAAAAAAGAAAAATGAAATAAAATAAAAAATAAAAAAAAAGGAAAGTGGAAAAAATATACATAAACACTTTTTTTGTTCTTCTTTTGCCGTTTTCCATTTTGTCTTCCTGTCTTCATTTGTCTTGCCTTATTCTGTTTTGTTTTGCATGGAATCTACTCGAATTTTTTTTTTGTTGATTATTTCTAAATATTCTGACAGCTATGGTGGCCAGAAAAAAAAGAAACAAGCAGCAGAAGCACGAAAAAAAAAGAAGTTCTTCTAGTTTTTCTCTTCAACCCTTCATCGCTCTTCTGCATCTCATCTACCGTTCTTCCTTCGACACAAAAAAGTAAATAAATAAATAAACGTAAAAAAGTTGTTGCTGTATTGATACTGTAGCTTTCATATTCTTTTTCTATTACTTTTTGCAATTCTTTCTTCGATTCCTCCTCTTTTCCTTGTCTTCCCATCTCTTCTGGTTTTTCTTCTCCCCCTTAGACAACAATAAGCCAATGATGCTAATATGCTGTTAAACTGATCATCCAACATATATATCACCTAACTGATTGTATATTCGTATGAAGCAATAAAAAAACAAAGAAACCAAGAAACAGAAGATGAACAAACAAATAAAGGAGGTACTTTTGAGAGCAAAAATCAACAAAATAAGAAGGAAAAAGATAGCCGAAATAAAAAAAAGAACAGGAAAAAAGGAGACGAAGCTGTGTGAAAAATGAAGTATATTTAGACAGATGTTTGTTATTTCATCAGTTTCGGTTTACATCTATCGTATTTCAATTTCGTTTCAAGAAAAAAAATTTTTATTTTTTTTGCAACGTTGAAATTTTCTTTTTTTTGTGTCTTATCAAAAATGAAAAATTACTACTGCTATTGGCAACCATTATTGACCATCGTCGTCGAAAGATACCTTTAAAAAAAAAAAA